CTGTTTAGAAATCAGGCTGGCTGTCCATCCACACTGCACTTGCGTTTGCATTATTTCAAACCAGAACAATCTCCCCTGAGATATGTTTTGATAACTTTCAGCTATACTTGTTGCCGCTGTAATGCTCTATGTGTGAGATTTGTTTTAATTAATACCGGCAAAAACACTTGAAGGAAATCTTCAAGACTATATAACTCAATATTAACAGAAGCTGTCAGGGATACTATGAATTTTTTTTCCCACTACACCTGTAAGAAAGTACAAAATACTCTTAGGCACCTTTGATATTCAGAAAGTCAGTAACATTTAGGTCAGGTTCCAGTCAAAAGTCTTCACTTTTATTCCTTTTCTGATTTTTGGAACAACAGAGACTGCAAATTTGCAGGAATTTATCTTCTTCTTATTCCCTGGCCTTTAAGAACTTTGTTTAGTCAAGTTTCCACACTGCTACCTTAGAAATCCAAAAATACCATTCTTTTTCTTGCACCCAAGTTAAAGGGTCATTCTACAGTCAGCCATTTAGCTGTGATGAGTAATCTTAAACACGCAACACGGGGAAAGCTGTCCTGCACAGGGAAATCAGCTGCGGATCACACTACTGTATCAAATTACTGAAAAAGGGTTTACTGAAGAGCTGGATATTTACAGACAACGAGCAACAACAAAGCACCCCTACACATTTAACTTTTGGTTTAATGTTTGGAAACGTAGATCCCCCAGAAAGCATATGTTTACCTTTTCAACATACCAAAAAAGATCATAAAGTCAACCGCCAAAGTCATTGGTATCTACTGCAGGAAGAAAGTTTGCCAAAAATCAGATTATAATACTAAGGGCTTAGGTGAAGCTTATAGACACCTTTTCAATTACAGGGTTGCATGCACACCTATAGGCAAAGGGCACTGGAATGATTCCCATCTTTATCTGTGATTTAACACAGAACAATGCCTTCTGCCTTACTGCCTGCCATTTCCTGTAGTAAGCTCCGGACTTGCTTCTCCGCTATGCTTACTCATCAGGTGCCAAGGGCAGAAACGACTGACGGGTCTCCCCTGGGTTTCTAGGCTTAATATAGGTTAGTATGACAAAAGGAAGCTCTACATAAGGAAAGAGGCACAGAGTCTTTACCACTCCCTATGCCAGCCAACTCTTACAATCCCAGGAAGTGGAAGGCAGCTACTGCGGCACTGGTGATTTCCCCTAAACCAAGACTTCTTGAAGGCAAATCTTCAGCAGTTCTAAATTTCATTTTATGACAAAATAACTGGGGGAAAGTGACTCTACTGAACTAAAGTTTTCTACATTTAAATTTACATCTATTTTTATGTTCAACCACAGGACTAATTGTTCATTGTCCTGATAATTTCTATGGTTATGCCTTGCTTATTTATTTATGTACCTATTTATTTGGGGTTTGGTTAACTTATGATGGATACACATTAAATCGTATTTTTCAAGAACAGTTTTGTTGGTCACTAAGAAAAAATATACCTATATGAACATGCTTATTCAGATTACACCAAAAATTTTATTTATCTGTTTATGTTAATGACAACCCACACTTAGAATAAAACTTCTCTGTAATAATCTAGGGTCACCGAGCTGTAACAGTCCCATGAATATAGTACATAGACAGGTTACTGAAAAAACCCACAACATCTCAACAAAATTTACAACACAATGATCAAATTGGTAGTGAAAAGGATGGTGCTTTGAGTGTCAGAGCAAAAGTTATGCAGTGTATTGAGATGCTAGAAAAAACAGAGTTGAACACTGAATAATTAAAACTCCAGAAGTAGAAATATACCTTATAAAACCAGAGGTAATCTCACAAGCCTGCAGAAAATGATTCTGCTTTATATGTACCTCTTCTCTTGATAAGGAACTCCAGGAAGGGAGAGAAACTTTCAAGCTTTTTGAGCATTAGGATGAACAAATGAATACGTCTCTATATCTACCTCTGGAGAAAGGATTAAAACTGGAAGCCAGCCAGTATCTGAAATTCACCACACAGTCCATAAACCCCCAGCCTCAAATAACGATTTTGTAAGGACTTGTTTCTCACAGTCTGATGATCATCCCAGTGGACAGACCCCTGTTGAGGGACTGGACAACTGATAATGAAATACACATTGGTACTTACCCAATAGAGCGTTTCTGGGTAAAATACATACATCAATATGTGCCCTTAATATTTATACACAAGGAGATCATCATATTGTGATGTGCAAATGAGACAGAGGCGGTTTGTTGGCATAAGCGTTTTAGTGCTGGGTGGATCTATCTCATAAGGAAAGTCTCTCTGAACAGGCTGTAATCCTGCATCTGAAGGAAGAAAACTTCAAAATCTCTAGAAAAAATCAGTTATGATAATGTTACAAGTCTCTTTACCTAATAAAACTGACAAAACACTGGTGCCTCAGAAAAGCCCCTAAAACCTGTCATAGCAACTCTCAGGGCAGTCAACACACTAATTATACAAAAGGACAATCATTCCTTACAGTTTAAAGCACATTTAATAATCCACACCCTTCCTGACCTACATTTCATCACAGACAGAAGACACACCTACAACTCACTCTAGTTCTGTTCTTGAGCTAAGAGCTCCCCTGAAGTAGGTTTTAAAACTAGCTTTGAAGAAAACACACAATAAGGCAGAATAATCTAATTTCCATCACTATCATATGGCAGGGCTCAAGGCTTCCTGACCGCACATCTATTCAGATTGCCTTTTCAGATGACTGTAATAGCAAACTAGAGAAACACGAACAGGGCATGGATACACATTCTACAAAACAGCCAAGTGGCTAAACTGTACAGAAAACAATCTTTCTACTGTTTTTTCAAGATAATGAACCTTAACCCAAAAATATTTTGCATAATTTCTTGAAAATCATCATAGAATCAAATAAGCAGGAATTGTGTCAGAAGAGCCACATGAAGTAGCAGGCTGTGGTTGTGGCACAGGCAGTTTGAACTGATCTGAAAGCTCAGCTGACACAGTCCTGCCCTCTGCCCTGTCCCCAGCCAAACCCTTACTGTGCTGACTGATAATGATCTTAACATTCTCCTGCTCTGCTGTCTGTCTCTCCTGCTGCTTATCTCGTTCTATACTTAGTATTTTAACTCTTTAAAGGCTCTAAAATAGAAAAGGCAAAGATGGAAGGAAACCTGTAAGTCCTGGATTTTCATCATTATTCTCAGTCTTGTTACCTCACTGTGGACCATTATGAGAACAATTTTCTTGAGGTTTGAGGATCTGGATATCATCAACATAATAACTTTAAATGTAATTAAGTTAGACGTAGCAACAGAAACATAGATATGATAATGCTATCATGCAGCATTACATGCAGCATTACATGATGTTAACAGAATGAATGGGCACCAGAAACATTTGGTGTAGGGGGCTGTAGAAATGCAATGTGGTTTTTAATGTCTTCATCAAAATTCTGCTTGACATTGAGATATGGACTACTTTAGATAATTTGTAAAAAGATCGCAATAGTTCTATGGTTATTAAACCAGAAAGCGCATTAAGAAGGCCAGTTTACTGACTTGAAGAAGTGCATATGGTATCAATAAATGTATGGAACAGTTAGCCCATAAAACCCGTCATATGAAAAAACAATGGTAGCTCTGAGGTGGAACTTGTATAAGAGCTGTATTGGCTGATCTCCTGGTTAAAACGAGCAGACATACAAGCAACAAAGACAGGGAACAGAAGATCACTGTAAACTAAGTAAACTGAGCAAGATCTTTGTGCATTAAGGCACAAAGGCTGGCACT